GTTGAGTTAGCTATTTTTGGAGGCTTATGATCTCATTATGTTTATTTAAATCACAAATAGTTAATGAGCACATTTGTGTATGTTTGTAGGTAACAAAAGCCCAACACTCAAGCCTAAATGATAAGAAAAAGAGGCCATTAGTCAGAAGGGCAGAAAGGAGAAAGACAAAAAAGGTAAGGACACATCAGTAAAGTTAGAAGGGAAGAAAGAGAAAGTAAGGATAACCATCCCAACTTCATTAAATACCCAAAAGGAACCTTAGCCCTTCTTCCCCATTTCTTTTCATCTTTAAAAATCGCTAATCCACACAAATCAAGCTTCAACCATAGTGTCTTGCATCTAATCCAAGCCCACAACCTAAGCCTTCATCAACCTAGAGCTAAAAATCCACTTAAACCTACATCCTAAACCATTATAACCTTTTTTTAATAATTAATTACCAAATTGACCCTATTTATAAACCAAAAATTTAACCGCTCCACAAATCTGCTCCTGTTTCAAGCCTTACAACCTACCCGGGTATATTTTGAAAAATTTTACCTACCCGGGTACACCCCTCCCTCCCCGGGTATATTTCTTGAATCTGGAAAAATGTTTGAATTATTTACCCGGGTAGAGAGGGGTGTACCCATCTAATCCAGCCCCAGCCACACCATGGTCCATGAAAAGAGGAACATCCAAAATTCAGAGGACCATACAAAGGTTGTCTTCTTAGATTCACACTAGCTCTCAGGCAACCTTTATGAGTTCTATCTTTGAAGTACACACCAGAAGGTTTTGTGAAGCCTAGCACACTGCCACAATCCAGATAAAGTCATCAACATAAACATCTCCCAACACAGCTATTGATTCTCTAAAGGTCTGTGGCATGAAAAGCAAGAAATATGACCCGGGTAAATAGAAACATTTTTCCAGAATAAAAAATATACCCGGGTAGGTAAAAATTTTAAAATATACCCGGGTAGGTAGGGGTGTACCCGGGTAGGCTTCATGGTCAACGGTCAAACAGGGGCAGATTGATGTTATGTTTTCTGGAGAGGTTAAATTTTTGAAATAGTTTATAAATACAATTTGGTAATTAATTATTAAAAAAAGATTATAATGGTCAAAAAGCCCAAGAAACTAGAAAAAGAAATAATGAAATAAAAAATCTGAGCTGTCATTTTGAGCTGGAGTCAGTTACACAGTTGTAAGTGCGAGCGATTTGGAGTGTGAAAAAAGATGGCTAGATAATCAAACAAGATGGAGGGTGAATTATGCGTTACTTCTTTTACAAGAAATAATAAAAAACACAACCTTTTTATAACAACTTCAACAAAAAATGAAGTTCATAGAGTATCAAACTTTTCTTAACCCAAAAACAAAATCAAAACATAACATATAACCTCCAATTTAGAGATTAAACAACAAAATGAAAATTTTATGGGAAAAGAGAAGAAATTCAATGTTTGTGACAACCTCTTTCAAGAAAAAATGCAAGAATGAAATCAATGAATCAAAATAACATATACAATGAATCAAAACGAAATCAATTGAATAAAATCAAAGAGATAAGGGTAAGGAAGAATCACACTGGGATATATCCTAGTTCTCTCTCTAACCACTTGAGAGCTAAATTCAGACTGAGGTCGACCATTCCACTATCATCAAGATTCCAACAGGTGCTTGAAGAAACCTTTTTACCACAGAAATTTTACAAGTCTATGATCACACCTTGATCTCACTTAACCTAAGCCCTTACGATCACTCAAATTGTCTCATCAACAATTACATCAATAAAATTCATCCAAACAGATACAAGGTAACCTCCCCTTGTTCAGCTCCAACAAAACGAACGTAAAAAGATTGAGGAACGAGCGAGTTATTGAGATTTTCCTTAAGGATATGCAAAACTAGCTTAATTGGGGTCAATTTCTGAATTTTGTGAGTTCTAAAGTTTTTCAATGTTAATTCTTATTCAGAAATCCTTAGAATATGTTTATATATGTGTCCTATCAAGTTACTAGCGGTTGGACATCTAAAAATTCGAATTACTTAAACTTTAAGTCACTTAAGCTAGGGAGTAATCGATTACTTTTCGAGCAGCCTTCTAGTACTTGTTTTAGCTTCAAAAACTTCGACGTCAAGTTTGACTTTGCACATTTGAGTATCCTAATAAATTTTCACTTTGCTTTGGTCATTTAGTACCATTTTTGACTTGTTGCCATGCTTTCCATTTAGTGCATCCATGTTAAGCTATGTTGGCAATTTGTAGGTGCTTTGTTATCATCAAGACTTCAATATCATAGTCTTCATGACCTATAGTTCAACATAGTGTAGGTGGTGAATATAAGTGTGCAAGGATGAATCAAGCGAAATGTGAGGAAGTGAGACATGTGGATGATGATCAAAAGGGTCACGAGGCTCATGCATGCAATAGAGGACTGATATAAAAAGAGCTAGTGAAGCAACAACAAAGGTCTTCTTCTTCTTCTTCTTTTCTTTTGGGGAACTTTTCTATTTTTTCTTTCATCTGGATTGTTATTACTTTTATTACAGGCTCTTCAAACTCTGTAGTTAGTACTGCAGCAGAGCTTTTCTTATGATATAGCTTTTGCCTTAGATTGATCTTGGGTTGTAATTTTTTTTAGTTTTCAGATATTGTTTTAAAGCTTGACCTTTATAGGTATGAGCTAATCCCATAGAAGGTTGGGTTTAGGAGGTACCTGAACCTCAGTGTTTGATGACGATTGATTATCTGAATTTTTTTTTGGTAAAATGATTATCTGAACTTTAATGTTTAATTTTAGTTGTTCAATGTTGTTTTTAATATTGAAGTTGCTGCGTTATAATCGGGTGCTAGTGGCTTGTTGAGGGATGAATTGTTGAGAGACAACTCATTTTTGATCTTGCATTGAGCTCATAAACTTGAGTGAGAAATCATTCAAGGTAGCTTACTTCAAACATGAAGGAGTCATCCATGTAACAAGGAACCTAAGCCTTAAGACTCCATTTCATACTTATATAGACATATGTTAAGTGGCTGAATCTTGGAGAAAATATATTTTAAGAAATTAAAAATTAGCATGTAAGTTTGGTTAACTGAAAATGATTGAGGAAGCAACTTGATAATCAAACCATTTTTTCAAGAACTGTTGGGAAAGGGAAGCCAAAAACCCAACCTATTTTTCATAATATTTTCACCAACACATACTTCTTACTTTTTCTGATAATTTGATTTTCAATTCTTTGTTTTAAATTTGTACACAAATTTTGCATTAGAAAAGAAAAACACATTTTCAAGTTAAGTTACTCATTCCATTTATCAATTTACCTTTGATTCAATTATAAAATCTTTCAAAAACAGTTCAAACTTTTGTAGTTTAGATTAGTCTTTTGTTACTTTGATTTTTTTTATACAAACTTTGATTTTATTTTAATTTTAGTTCTTTTAGTTCAAAACTTCAAATTGTGTCACAACAATTGCTATATTAATTCGAGTCAAAGCGCCATGATCCCTATGAGACGATATCAACCCATTTACGATTTGTTATCATGTACGCTTCCACGTTAAACTTGCATAATTGTTAGCAAGACAACATTTGGCATGAAAAAGAAGAAGACAAAGGCATTTAATAACTTGACAACCAATAAAATTTAATAATGAATACATTCACACATTATATATATTTGAAATTTAAAAATAATAATTAATAACTAATAAATAATTAATATTTAATAACTCATTAAGACTATAAGACCTAAGTGATACAATATGGAATCTTGTCATACTCAAAATTCTCCAAACTGCCATCTTCTAGCAAAAGGATTTTTATTTTTATTTTTTGTCTTTGTAACTCGAAATGGGAATATATATATGTATATGACAAAAATATTTCTCAAGTCACTTGAAATATATTTATCTCCGTCCACCCTAGAACTAAGTTGTTTTCTTTATTTATTTTCTTATATTAATTAATTCACCTTTGAATGGTTATGATTCCCTTTTTCTCTCCTTTTCTTTATCACCATTGATCCATCTTTGTACGATTATGATTTAATGGCCGGAGATAAAGTTATCTCAAGTGGCTTAAAAAATGATAAGCCTTATATATATATATATATATATATATATATATATATATATATATATATATATATAAAGAGAGATAGATAGAGAGAAAGCGAGAGAGAAATATTTCTCAAGCAGCTTGAGATATATTTATCTTCGTCCACCCAAAAGCTATGTCGTTTTGTTTATTTATTTTCTTATATTAATTGATTCACCTTTGAATGGTTATGATTCTCCTTTTTCTCTCCCTCTTCCTTTATCACTATTCATCCATCATTGTACAGTTGACAAAAAATTAATATATTGCTATTTAAATAAAAAATTACAAATTTATGGCTGTTTACAAAATATTTACAAATGTACTGCACAATGTCACGCCCAAATTAAGCGTCACATGCCACATCCCATTTCGGCGTGACACCCACATGGGTCACGCCTAAATAGGGTGTGATATATGACGCCCAATTTGGGCATGACACATGCAGCCATGCTGCCTCCCTAGGGCGTGAATGGCTCAAAAAACTCTATATAACCCCCTACCACTCTATGCACTCTTAACATCTCTTCTCTGCCATCAATTCTTACCTTTTACATATATAATTATTATCTTAAATTTAATCTTTTATTTTATTTGTTATTCCATTTTAAAATGAGTTCACATTATGATTCTGTTCGTGTTGTGTTATATTACAATGGTAGGAAGGTGGAAGGTCGACAAGGTGTCATGTTTGAAAGTGAAAAAAGGCCGACACGTATCCAACGCAACACAACCATTGACGAACTGCATCAGAGAATTCGTCAGAAGTTAAGTCTTCAAGGTAACCAATGTATCACTCAAATCACCATAAGGTTATGGCAATCTGAACAATACATTAGTTTGCAAGTGGTTGACGATGAAGACGTCGAGATGATAATGGAAGAATTTTTCAACCAGTCAAGGAAAGATTTTATGGAGTTGTATGTGGACATTGCCGGAGCAGAGGATGTACCATTACCAGTGAGGTCAGTTGCTTTAGATTCTCACCGTCTTGCATCAAAGTCTACCGCTCATGCTTCTCCAGTTGCTAACATTTCTGAGGGAGATGAAAATGATCAGACTTGGGTTATGCATGATGACGACGACGATGATGAAAATATCGCAATGGAAGAACGTCTTTTGGCCAAGGATGCTAGTGCTTCAGAAGGAGATGAGGGTGGTGATATGGGCGCGTCTCAAATCCTAGTATACCATGAAACAGTGGAGTCTCAAATCCTGCAACTTAATTATGTTGGCTCTGTGCAATTAGGAGATCATCATAAAGGTAATTTACATAATAACTCATATGTGATTTAGGATGTTTGAATATTGTATTAAGAAGTTTTAATTCCTATATGCAGGTGACGATGTTGTTATTTCTTTTTGGGAAGGAATTCCACATTACACACATATTGATTGGAGTTATCGGAGTGAACAAGAATCATGCACTGATGGTTCGGTTTCAGGATTGGGATCAATACAAGGTTTGTGGCAACTAGGTGACAAGTTATTTGTGAACCAAGAATTTGCAACAAAAAAGAGGTTCAAATGGCACTGAGGCACAACCTTATGAGGGAGCATCAAGATGTAATCGTAATTGAGAGCACACCTGCAAAGTTAAGCATAAAATGTGCGGCGTATGATAAGGGTTGTCCGTGGCGCGTTAGGGCAATAAAACAAGTGTTTGATGAAAATTGGAAGATTTCTAGATGGGGTGGGGATCACAATTGTTTGAATGACCACATTTCTCAAGGTCATAGACAGCTCGATGCTGACATCATTGCGGAGCTCGTTCTAGGTGCGTATTCTGTGCTAATGTTAGTAGAGCTTCGCTACGAAAAATTTCACGTAAGGTCGAGAGCACAATGGTCTTAGAAAGTGGTTAGAGCAAGAGTGTGAAATGGTTAAAAAGGTAAAATGTGGGGTTTATATAGGCTTGGTGGTTGACACCACATTTGGGCGTCACATATCACGCATAGTTTGGGTGTGACCCACCAAGAGGTGACGCCCTTTTTGGGCCTGACATGTGACGCCTAAATGGGGCGTGATATTGTGTAATAAATGCGTAAATATTTTGAAAACAGCTGTAAATTGAAATTTTTTATTTAAAAAACATTAAATTAATTTTTTTGCCTTGTACAGTTATGATTTAGTAGCCGGAGATAAAGTTATCTCAAGCAGCTTGAGAAACTATATATATATATATATATATATATATATATATATATATATATATATATGAAGAGTGAGAAAAGAGGAATCATAACTATTCAAAGGTGAATCAATTAGTATAAAGACAGAAATAAATAAAACGACATAGTTTTTGCGTAGACGGAGATAAATATATCTCAAGATGCTTTAGAAATATTTTTCTCATATATATATATATAGGGGCAGGATTATTTGACACCGGTGTCAAACTTTAAAATTTAACATCAAATCCGAACCATTGATTTTCGTTAATCAACGGTTATCATTTATTGGGAATCAAACTTATTAATTAATATTCCCAATAAATAAAAATCGTTGATTGTGAAAATCAATGGTTAGGATTCAGAGTCAAATTTTAAAGTTTGACACCAGTGTCAAAGGATTCTATCTCATATATATATGAATGCAATCAATGATATGTATGATGGGGCTACTACATGTGTGAAAGCTTGTAATAGAACATCAAGTTATTTTTCTATTATAGTAGGAGTACACCAAGGTTCGGCTCTGAGTCCATATCTCTTTACCTTAGTGATGGATAAACTAACAAAAGACATTCAATAGGAGGTGCCGTGGTATATGCTTTTTGCAGATGATATTGTGCTTATTGATGAGACGAAAGACAATGTTAATAAGAAACTTGATTTATGGAGAAGCACTTTGGAGTATAAAGTTTTCACGTTAAGCCGGAGCAAGACTGAGTATATGAAGTGTGAGTTTTCTCTAGTAAAAGATGGAGATCAAGACCCTGTGCATCTACTTGGTCAAGAGGTACCCAAGAAAGATGCTTTTAGATACCTGGGGATCAATTTTGCAAAAAGGTGGTGAGGTTGATAAGGATGTAAATCATAGAATTAGAGCAGGATGGATGAAATGATGGAGTGCATCTAGGTTTTTGCGTGACCGCAAAATTTCCCTGAAGCTAAAAGGAAAATTCTATAGAACAACGGTAAGGCCTGCAATATTATATGAAGCTGAATGTTGGCCAGCACATAGGCAACACGAGCATAAAATGAAAGTAGCAGAAATGAGGATGTTAAGATGGATGTATGATTATACGAGGATGGATAAGATAAGAAATGAAGATATTCGACGAAAGGTAGAAGTAGTAACAGTAACTGAAAAGATGAGGGAACATAGATTGAGGTGGTTTGGGCACGTAATAAGACGTCCCCTGGATGCTTCTATGAGGTGGTTTGGTTTTTAGAGGCGATTAAATTTGCATTTTGAGTCGGTTCAAACCGCCTCTAAATGCTTGGTTCGGCGGTTTATAAATCGCCTCGTTTACCACCGTCGCGAGGCAAAATACAGCAGTTTTATATAACCGCTGGAATAACCGTCTCTACACGACAATCTGAAGCGGTTTTATAACTGCCTCCAAATCATATTCTGAGGCGGCTATTTTAACCGCCTCCAAAAGATAATCTGAGGCGGTTCTTTTAACCGCCTCCAAAAGACAATCTGAGGCGGTTATATTAATTGCCTCCAAATAACATGTAACCTCCTTTAAATAGTTAAAATTATATAAATTTTTAATTTTTAATATTAAAATTGTTATTTTTAAAATTTAATATAATTTTTATTAGTTGAATATAAATAACTTATTGAATTTTGTATATGAGTATGTTAGTGTGGGTTGTTATATAGAAGGGAATGGAGAAGGAGAAACAAGTGCCATCCAATGTGGGACTTCAAAGTGAAGGTGAGATGGTTTTTTTCAATGTGCAAGAGTCATCTTTGAAAATTTATATATAAAATCAGATAATTCAACTTAAAAATCGGAACGGTCAGATTAAAGTATTACAAGAAAAGAACACACTAATCAAATTTGAGGACGATTCAACGGCAAAACAAAGAGATTTTCCTCTTTGAATGTCACTGTCCGATAGATCATGAACCGCCTCTAAATATACTTTGGAGATGATTATTTTCTCCACCTTTAATATATATTTTGAGGCGGTTCACATGAAACCGCCTCCAAATGTGTACTAGAGGCGGTTAAACCGCTTTTATTTACCATTCAGAGGCGGTTACATTAAAAGCGCCTCTAATTGCTACATTTAGAGGCGGTTAAACCATAATCACCTCCAAATGTTTATTATACGTAGTTAAAATAACCGCCCCCATTGATCATTTAGAGGCGGTTGAGATATAAACGCCTCTAAAGGTAGCAATTAGAGGTGGTTTTAATGTAACCGCCTCTGAATGGTAAATAGAGGCGGTTATTTTAACCACCTCTAGTACACATTTGGAGGCGGTTTCATGTGAATCGCCTCGAATCAATTAAACCACCGGAAATACTACCTATATGTATCAATTAGAGGCGGTTTAAGTGAAACCGTCTTAGTTTAACAGCCTTCAAATACCAGTTTTCTTGTAATGTATGGAGAAAGGTAGTTAAACAAGACTTAATGGAGTGAATATAGATTGGTAGACGATGTGTCTTAGGACGGAATGAAGAAAAGCTATAAGCAAGGTGGAATGTTAAACCCATTGCTATTCATTTGTTCCCGATGCTTCTTTTTTAGTCCTTTTCCTCTTCAACCTGCCATCTCCTCCGTTTTCCCTTCTTGTGTTTTATCCTATTTCCCCTTCCTCAATTTTTATTTTTATTTTATTTATTTATCTTCTCTTATTATCATTGGATTCATCTATCACCAACCCAATTAACTTGGGTTATATATATATATATATATATATATATATATATATATATATATATGGCTTATCATTTCTCAAGCTGCCGGAGATAACTTTATCTCCGGCTACTAAATCATAACCATACAAAGATGGATCAATGGTAATAAAGGAAGAGAGAGAAAAAGAGAATCATAATCATTCAAAGGTGAATCAATTAATATAAGGAAATAAATAAATAAAACGACGTCGCTTTGGGTAGCCGGAGAGAAACTTATCTCAAGTTGCCGAAGAAATATTTTTCCCATATATATATATATATGGCAAAATCATTTCTACGGCCGCTTTACGTACAACAATAACAAATGTATGGTTATGATTTCTCATATTTAATACTTTTATATTTTGTATGGATATATGATTCCATATATTTAATGCTTTCACACACACACACACACATATATATGTGTGTGTGTGTGTGTGGCAAGTATTTGACTGTTATACGCATAACACAACTGCAGAAATATATATATATATATATATATATATATGAGGCAAGTATTTGACTGTTATACGCATAACACAACTGCAGAAATATATATATATATATATATGAGGTAGGATCCTTTGACATCGGTGTCAAATTTGAAGTTTGACACCTCATCTGAGAGCCGTCAGATCAAAAAAGATCAACGACTCTGATTTGTAAGCATGTGACACCATTGATCTTTTTTGATCTAACAGCCCCTCAGATGGGGTATCAAACTTCAAATTTGACACCGGTGCAAAGGATCCTACCTCATATATATATATATATATATATATATATATATATATATATATATATATATATATATATATATATAGGTGTACGACAAAGAGCACAACTAAAGAATCTCAGCCACAAGCAATTTACATCTAAAAGGCTTGATCGTACCAATAAAATGAGATAAAATTGGATGAATCATAAATACCATTTTTTTAAACTAGCATCGACGATTATATAATAAAGCTTCCTCGTGGGTACAGTATTAATCCAATTTAAATTCTTAAATGGATGTACCTCTAACCGTGTAATCAAGAGATCAAACACCGTAACTCCTATTGTTCTAGAGCATAAGCTTCAAGATATTCTAAGATTGGGAGCCTCACGGTAATATCAAAAGGCATTGATTCCCTTAACAAATATTCACCGCAATATTTAATATTAATTAATTCACACACAATTTAGTAAGGGTACTCTTGTCAGAAATATTTAAGCATTTTCCTACAAGAAATTCAAATCTCTTATTTATATCCCACTTTTGCTAGTTGAGTTATTATTATTTTCCACGTTAATCACATTCTAATGTTGGACACATTCAATAATAGTCATAGAACAAAAATGTTTGTTGACCATCAAGGAGGATGGACATGGCAGATCGAGGGAGAAACAAGTATCGGCTGTCATCCTTCTTTAAATTTTGATTACTTTATTATTATATATAAAATAATATTTATCTAATTTTAGCTGTAATAATTAGCCTCTTCTTAAAAACACTTATAACAGTTAGTCTATCTTATTATTTTTAATAATACTTATAATTTTAATATTTTATTTTTTCTTTAGTTTCAAAAGAATCTTGAATCCACCACTGCACATAGATCAATTAGCCGCCTCCGGATTAATCGTGACTAATTGAAGAATTGATATAGAAACTAAAAATAAATAAATTCTTGATGTTAGATAAAGTAGGGATCTCTACCCCGCTGGGATTATATATATATTTTCTAGGGCACAACTAATTGGAATCCAAGCATTGACTGACTTAGCACCTGTGCAAGTGTGCAATGAAGCATTACTTTCTATTTTCTTTCAAGCGTACCTGGTCAGTCTTTGTTTCGAGGTCAAAGATGTCACAAATAATAAATAAATCATTTTAAAAAATAAATAAATAAATAACCCTCTTGCCATAGATGAGCTTTTAAAAGAACCAGCAACTAGATACTCTTCTCTTCACAACTTTTATTAAAAGGGCCATATTCCAAAGGTACAAAACTAAATAATTGTGAGCAATATATCTATTTTTGTCATGTGATGATGGGATTGAAAGCTATGCATATGCTACTGACCCTGTTGTTGGTGATTGCATTATTGGCAAGTGTAGGATCAACTGCAATTGACGAAGCCCTTCCCGGGTGCAAAAACACTTGTGGAAATGTTTCCATTCCATATCCATTTGGCATAGGCGCGTCAACTGTCACCGGTAAAAACTGTTTCTTGGAGGAAGGATTGCAACTTAGGTGCGACAACAAGTCTACTTTATATGACGGTACTCGCGGTAATGTTCAAATTTTGAACATAACCCTCCAAGGTCAAATGGACCTGTTATTTTTCGTCTCCAAGGTTTGCAAAATAGGATTCGATAGAAAAGAAACACAAGGTAATGAACCCTACCTTAGAACCCCAGCTTACACCATTTCTAGCGAGCATAACAAGTTTGTGAGTGTAGGATGTGACACTTATGGTTATCTAAATAGTTTTCATGACGGTGATAAATATTCAACGGGGTGCTTAACAAGATGTAATAGCATAGTTGATATGCAAAGCGATGGAAACTGCACGGGGATAGGATGTTGCCAGGTTGATATTCCTCCTGGAATGAAGAATATTACTTTACAAGCATTTAGCTTCAACAACTTCAATGACTCTTCGGAATTCAACAATTGCAGCTCTTCCTTTGTTGTCAAAAAAGGTTACTATAATTTCTCTTCGAGTCATTTAGAGGATTTCCCATACGAGAATGTTCCCTTAGTAGTTGATTGGGCTGTTGGAAATGAGTCAAATGACACGTGTGAAAAATCAAGGAGGGAACCCAACTATGCATGCAAGAAGAATAGCGATTGTGAGGACTCGGCCACTGGATATGGTTACCGATGCAAATGTAAACAAGGTTACCAGGGAAACCCATTTCTTCCTGATGGTTGCCGAGGTAATTATTTAATTTCTTCCGTTAAACATTAACCTTTCTCATTTATATAACTTAATTCCTCTGTTTCAATTTTTATTTAATTTTCTTTGCTTTGCATATACTACTGTTTTCAATTTTAAGGAAGTTATTCCTGCTATTTATCATTTTTCTTTCAATTTTGTTGTTTCATTGATAAACTCTCTGTTTAATATTTTACCCTTTTTTTTTTCTTTTAATGCAAAGGAATAGTAAACAAGTGTAGGAGTAAAGCTTTTGTTTAATAAAATGCTCTAAAAGGAATATATAGTCTTTTTTTTTTGTAGAGGAAAATATAGTCATTTATTTCAGTAAATTTGCTGTTTCACTTAATATTTATTTCTGTTATAAAAATATTGTAGACATTGAGGAATGTAAGAATGGTTTACATGACTGCATAAGCGATCAAAATTGTCGTGAAACCGAAGGGAGTTTTGAATGTTTCTGCCCTGATGGACAATTCGGAAATGGAAAAAGGGAAGGTGGAGGATGCCAACAAAAGCGAGACGCTGCACTTACCAAGATTCTCATTGGTTAGCAAATAATCACATTTGGATTTATTTTTCTTCCCTTTTTTGTTATTAACTAAGACCACAATTCCAGCATTGCATTAATCATATTTTGAAAACAGGTGCAGGTGCAGGATTAATGGCTCTATTTGTGATGATTTCTTGGCTATACCTTATATTCCAGAAAAGGAAACTCATCAAACTGAAGGAGAAGTTCTTTAAGCAAAATGGGGGTATCATTTTGCAACAGCGACTCTCTGCAGGAGAGAACACTTCTCAATCTACCACATTGTTCACAGCAGAGCAACTTAAGAAGGCCACCAACAATTATGATGAGAGCTTAATCATCGGCAGAGGAGGTTATGGTACTGTTTACAAAGGAGTTTTGTCAGATAAGAGTATTGTTGCCATCAAGAAATCCAAAATTGTGGATCAGAGCCAAATTGAGCAATTCATAAACGAGGTGATTGTGCTATCACAAATTAATCACAGGAATGTGGTCAAACTTTTGGGTTGTTGTTTAGAGACAGAAGTTCCTTCACTGGTTTATGAATTTGTTAACAATGGTACCCTTTTTGATTATATACACAATGAAGGCAAGTCAGGTAATGTACCTTGGAAAACACGTCTAAGGATAGCAGCAGAGGCAGCAGGGGCCCTATCTTATCTGCACTCAGCTGCTTCTATACCAATTATACATAGAGATGTGAAGACTCCCAACATTCTCTTGGATGATAGTTACACTACCAAAGTGTCTGATTTTGGAGCATCAAGATTGGTTCCTCTTGATCAAACTGAATTAGCCACAATGGTGCAAGGAACTATTGGTTATTTGGACCCAGAGTACATGCAAACGAGCCAACTTAATGAGAAAAGTGATGTGTATAGCTTTGGAGTAGTACTTATAGAGCTGCTTACAGGGGAGAAACCTCTTTGTTTTGACAGGTCAGAAGAGAAAAGAAGTCTTGCTATGCACTTTCTATCTTGCTTGAGAGAGGATCGCTTGTTTGAGGTTCTTCAATTTGGCATTTTGAATGTAGAAAATAAGGAGGAGATCAAGGAGGTTGCTATTCTTGCAACAAAGTGCTTGAGACTAAGAGGGGAGGAGAGGCCTAGCATGAAAGAAGTGGCAATGGAGTTGGAGGGAATAAGGCTAATGGAAAAGCATCCATGGATCAACACAGACGTGAATCTAGAGGAGACTCATTACTTGCTTCATGAGGCATCATCTAGCATTCATGAACATGGTGATAGTAGCAGCCATCAAAATAGTGGCTATGACAGCATCAAAGATCATGTACTCATTGACTTCGATGATGGAAGATGATTATGCTTCCACTTCACTTTAAAACAATGTTCATCATATTTCTACTTCCACTATTTGGCTTATAGTTGTAATTCAAATATGTGATTCAATCTCTTGGGGTAAGCATGCATCCTTTTGTAATCTTTATGAATTATAATCGAATAAATTTAATTATTTTAATGTAACACCTCGTTCGCGACCGATTTGTTAACATCACATATGGTATTAAGCCAAGTTACAATCACAGTAGTTAATTCAGAGATAAATTTTTCCTTTTTGTTCACTACCAATAATTAAATCCGTATACAATTAATTCAATTACTATAATTACAACCAATATATGACTCAGAAGCGCTAATATTTATTTTTATAATCTCTAATTAGTTAATACCACGAACCTAAGGGCGTAATTCAACTCTGTGTCATTCACTGTGAAGCCTCTGTAGGCTAACACGATGTATTACACTCATTTAAGTTTTACTTACATTGAACAGACCCTACGCTTCCTTAAGCTGGGACTATATTTCCTCATCATATGTGTTAGCTTCACATAGGTCCAAACCTCACTCAATTTAGAGCTTTGTAGCTCAAGTTATGCTCATTTTCGTAAGACATGTTCATGTTGTCTATGGCAGCGCGCTGAGAGTGCTTAAGCGCGCTCTTCGAACCCATTTTTTGCCCGTTAGAGCCCTTGAGCATGCTCCAATGCGCTTGAGCATGCCATGGCAGGGAAAATTGGTATTTTTAGGCCACCAAGTGCGCTTTAGTGCCCTCTAGGGCGCTTAAGCGCGTCGAACCAACAAAACAGGTTTTTCTGCATAATTAAGGTACTAGGGATGTCAAACCCCATTTCTCCAACCTTCTTGATACCTAATGGACTTGAATGGCTATCATATGCCTAACAAGCATGGTTGCACACTTGCACTTACATCATCTCATATATGTCATCAAATCTATATTCTTTGTGCATAAAATTATTCAATCTTCATTATCTTTTCTTTCATGCATAACTTTGACACATTCTCATTCCATATCTTACAAATATTGCATTAATGCATTTTAACCAAGTAAACCAGGGGTCCTTGAAGCATCTCTCCGCCCCATAGTTCACTCACAATATAATAGCAATAACAGTAAATAATACAATAAATACATATCCATGTAGTGTGTAAAAACATCTCCAAGAGACATCCCTCAAGCTCTCATGTTGTCCTAAGGATACTCAGATGCAAATAGTCCTATTGGCCAGCTAAACTACAAGTATGAATTATGCATCTTCATACAACATACAAAACATAGGGAAACACCATCTTATGCCACACATAGTGCATACACATAGGTATAACAAAGCATTAAACTACTTTATTGCATTTACATACACTATCAACTATCAACAACCACTACCCATTCCGGGCATGGTGGAACAATAAAGGGATCAATTTCCAAGGTCCGAAGGCTTACCTCAATTTGCTTCAAGTCCAACCTTTGTTCACCACCAAAGTGCAACAATCAAAACTTCACAATTAATACCTACATTAAGGTACCATACAATCAATCCATGCTAGTCAATGAACATCAACATATTCATCAACCAAAAAATCAAATTTCACACCACACTTGGGCATGTACGTATCAATCCAAACGAGCTAATCAAGCTTCATAGCTTCCTCCAATGGTTGGTCACTCAATGTTGGTCCACTTGCCTCAATCCTAGCAATCACATAGACACAATCAATATCAACATTCAACACTTCAATATCTAATATTTGGAATGCAAAAGTACACTCCACAAAGGCACCAATTTTTGAAAATATTGTATGGTAATCAACCAACTATCTAAACTTATTTCTACCGATTAAATCATCATTTAAACAACTTTTCCAAAGGAGTTAAGCTTCCCTCAAGCTCTAACTACTCAAACTCAAGCCACATTTCCATAATGAAACCCTAACATACATAATATCATGAAATGCAATGAAAGGGAGATTTCTAAACACCAACTCACCTAGGATCATGCATGGAAGGGAATACAAGCCTTCAAGTAGATCAAATCACCCTCCAAGCCTCTCAATCACAAGTGGGTCACCACTTTCAAGTTGGAGTATCTCCCTTTACAATGGTTTCCAACCGAAAATGAGTAGAGAAATGGAAAGAGGGAAAGATTTCAAGTGATTTTGGCTTTGGAACCAAGTCATTTGGTTGATAAACAAGAAAGTTAGGTTTGAGCTTCATCTCCAATGGCTTCTCTCCATTTCTCTCTCTGTTTCCCACGAAGAAGAAGAAACAAATGAGGAGAGTTTTTTGTGTTTTTAACACTGAACATAGGGTAGGTTGCTTTAACTAGGTAAAAGCTTATCTATTTAGTTACCTTAGCTCACTTTCAAACTTTACCCATTGGTCTAAAATATTTTTATGATCATGTTTCTAACTATACTTTTACTTTCTTGGTAATTTTGGGTACACATATTTTTATCCCAAAAATTTTATTGACTGCACTTTTTATCCCAAAGTGACTCAAATTCGTTTAATTAAGCCTTTTACTTAATTAAACCCCATAATGAGTGATTAATTATTTAATCACGTGCAATTTTATATATACATGAATATTATATTTAATGTAATTTACTGATGTTTGCCCCCCCACCCCCTCTTATGAGCTATGTCTGTGTAATCCAATAAGCCTCATAGTGCTTTTTATTGATATCATATAATCCTCTATATTAAAAAAATTGAGCCATTTTGCAGAAAATGGATCCTTATTCCTCACCTATCCACTTTTTTCGTGTAATTGTTTATCATGACTTTAATTTAATTGATAATTGTGAGGGACATTTTTATTGAAATTAAATGTGACCAACTGCATTTAATACTTTCAATGTTGATTTATTTTCTTCCAAATTCTGATTCTTCTCATTTGTATTAGAACTTGGAATGTGCATTGTGCACGGCGATAATGTAGCATCACCCAATAGTTTAAACTTTTGGCTGAAATAGTTCTTTACATGATATTAGAGCTCAATGGCCAAGTGATCACGAGTTTAATCCTCAACGCACCCAAGTGGCCAAGGGTAAAGAATTTCTCTGGTCAATGGAGATAAATTATCTCCTGTGAGTCCAAAACGACGTTGTTTTGGGGAGAAATCAAGGTATTTTTGTAATTCTAATATATTACAGGATTATATTAGTCTTTATCATTATAATTTTTTAATCTTATAACCCCAAAACAACGTCGTTTTGAGCTCACTCGAGATAACTTTATCTCCAGTGACTGAAGAAATATTTTTCCCTAAAAATAATTAATCTATTCTCTTAATAAAAATAATTAATTATTGTGGACTTTCTTAGCATAGGTAAGCTGAATTATCCACTCTTCAAATCTAATGGACTTTCATGTAAAAGGGTTAGTTAAAAAAATATAAAATCATTAATGTAGTCAACTTAAGTTTTTAGGTTGAAACAATTCTTTACATCTTCCTGTTGAGATATTCAAGTGTGATGAGTTCCACATTAGTTGGTAATGGACTAAGTGAAGAGTATATAAGTGGAAGGATCCATGAACCCAATGCCTTAAGATTTTTGGTTGAGATGTGGTGTCGGACCCACTTAGTATATTTGGAGTAGCTTAGTCCATTGGTGGTAGTCTTCCAACACGGGCTTTTCCCTGGACTCGCCTGACATACTTATATACTCTTCACTTAGCCCGTTATCAACTAATATAGAACTCATCACACTTGAATATCTCAACACTACCTAGCCTTAAATGGGACCACGTCATGCAGTTTTACCAATCCTTATATTCCTTTCATGTAAGGTAATTTAAAAATAGTTTTGGCAAGTTTTTTAGAAAGTAATCGGCTAGGCTAATCCGTCTTGTTTTATCGCTACTAAATAATAAAATAAACAGAAAAAATAATTAAAAAGTGAATGTGATGCGAGGTCAAGTTTTGAATGAGAATGGACGTGTACTTATCGTTTTATGTAGTGTTATTAAAATCGGACCGACCCGGCCCGGTCGACCCGGGAACCGGTAAACCGGTCATATAATCGGTTCGGTTAAAGCAATGGACCGGTCATGTATTAGAACCGGTGCGACCCAGCCGATTTTCATAAAAATCGGTAACCCAGTCGGTTAACCGATGAGCAGACTGGTAAAACAAAATCAATTTTTTTTATAAAAAAAATCATAATGGACATATTTGAATATTTTTTTGCTTATTGACTTACATAAGTTATGTACCTACAACACTAATATTATCTCAATTATGTACTATGCCGAAAATTTTGAATTAACTTATAGTTAGAGATGTCGTTTTCTGAATCTAAAGTCCCGTATCACGATCATTATATTTTTGTTTGATCTTTTATTGGATAACAATATGTGATTTATTATTTTTTATATTAAAATATTTGAAATTTTTATCATTTTTTTAGATATTTGAGTATGTTTATAATTTTTTAATATAAATTATAAAATTGAATATAATTACCGGGTCATGCGGTTGAACCAGTGACCCACTGGTTGAACCAATGATCCAATGACCCAGTACCTCGACCAGGTCAATGACCGAGTCGGTTTTAATAACATTGGTTTTATGTCTCCTAGCTTTGTAACGATGATAGTATTAGAGTATGTTCGTAACTGGTGGCTGCTGCGACACTTGGTGATTGTTTGACAGTCACCAGAGGGAGGATTTTATTTATATCTTCCTTTATTTATGAGTTTAAAAAAATGAAAGAAATAAATTGAGGGTTTTTTTTTCAATCCTTCAAAAAAAAAAAATTACCCTTAAAATTAAAGTTCAATAATTTATGGAGTTTGAGAGGGAAAATATTAAAAATTATTTATCTACCTTAATATTAAAATATTAAAAGTACGTTATTGTTAATCATTTCTTAAAGATGAAATTAATAGCAAAGTTTCAAATATCGGCAAAATTTATCTATAAAAAATATTATGTCAAAAATAGTGACTGAATTTTCGACGAAAATTATATTTCGAAAAAAATAGAGACAACAAAATA